TTATAGACACTGAGTGAAAGCCAGTCAGTTTTCTTTGACTTTTCTTCACAATGGAATTATGGTGCTTGGTATATTCAGAATTCATGCATACTTCACTTGCAGTGCCAGTCTGTCCCTAAATGGAGATACTACTGTATTCTGTGTTCCTCCAAAACTTAGCTTTGCTCATTTTCTTAGACATATTTCCATTTACATCATAATTAGCAAGTTTTCTTGACCTGGAATACCATGTATGATTCTACCTGATGACCCCATGTCACAAACTGCCTGAAATCTCTATGAGATAATGCAAAATCTTGCAGGTTCTTACAATTCTTGTCCAAGATCACTGAAACCTCTTGAGAACTGCTAAACTCACAGTATTTCTGTTATTTTATTTTAGGATGTTGGTGGATGTCCGGTGACCCTTAAACATACCTTACTGATCTCTGAGTTAAACCCTGAACCATATCTGTGCAACTCTGTGAGCATATTAGCATCCCATTCATCCACAGAGTCATGACAATCAAAATTGCTTTGAGGCATAGCTGAAGGAGGACAATATGCGGTTTTCCAGATATTGTTGATCTGCACTTTCCATGGCTCCTCACAGCCTTGCTGCCTGGTGGCAATGGAATTTAAAGTTCAGAAGCCTATGGAAGTCCACAAGATGTTCATCCTTTACTTCTATATTTTGAATTCTAACAAGTGCAGACTATTCGTTACAGTTCTCTCCTTAGCTCTATTGCTGTGTCATTTATTCTAAACATCTGTCTTTTATAATAATTGCATTCTTTGAGTGTAGATTTTTACATATCACACTGGCATCTTCCATGCAGAAGAGGGAACCATCAGATTATTTAGAGAGGAAGAGAAAGAAGAGGGGTCTCCCTTCTGCAAAAAAAAAATCTAACAAATCTAACAAGCTCTTTGGTGGCATGGCCATTAATGCTGAGTGAGTGTTGCTGGGGGGAGGTGGGAAAACAGCAGGAAGACAGGGTGGAGCCCACAACAGGAGCTTCATACTATAACATTTTTATGCAGGTCTCGCTGAAAAAAATGTTCAGCATAGAAGTGATTTTAAAATAGTGATTATGTACCAAAAGTTCCATTGGGACATCTGTTACTTTCCATACTATTCCTGGAGTGGAGTCATACTCCACTCAGTTTTCATGAGAAACAAAACTTCAACAAATTTGTATCCTCCTTTTCCTTTCTTTGTTTTAAGTTGATTGGTTGAACCATCTGCATATGCTCCACTTTGGCTTTTTCTTTAAGAAACAGATGTCTTCATAATGTATTGAGATTGAAGCTAATCTTGGGATTTATATGCCAGCTGTATATTTTGAATTAGCACAATATCCTTTTGAAATGCTTTAAACAACTTTTTTTAGCATGTGCCTCTGAATGTTGAACGTTTCAGCACTGATTCCTGTGTTGATTAATCTGAGCGATGGTTATTAGGGAGAGGGAGAGAAATGTGCAATGGGAGATCTTCAGATGTCCCTTGTGACTTGCTTACTCATGATTTGTTCCTATTTTAGTTGTGTCAGATGTTGGAGGGTGTGCTGCTCTGCACAAACTATTTCAGAAGTTTTACACCTGTCTCCTAGAGTCACTGAAGTTCCATACTCTACCTCTGCCTTGCCTTGTTTTCAGATTCAGTGGCATGCAGTCACAACCTCTTGCTCTCTGAGAGTCCTTCCTCTTCTTAGCATTGGCACTTCCTTTTGGCTCTCCTATTTCTCTCTCCCACAGCTATACTTGCTGGTCACGACTTTTCTCTATGGTAATGGGTATTTTCCTTTGAAGAGTATTATTGGATGAATGCTTAAGCTAGGCTGAAACATCAGGAGGCTAACAACTGAGTCAGATGAAAATCAGCATGAGGCTAAAGCAAGGTGGTGCAACTTATGAGTTGTTAAGCTGGTCATGGCCAACAAACCATGCATGGTGCTCCACCAGGAACACCATAAGCCACCTGTTTTTTGTTGGGTATACAGAGCTGCTAAAAACAGTGAGATGTTCAGGCACCTGGCAGGTAACCATCTGTGCCTGGTGGTTAGGTTCAGCTTGGTGTGGTGCACAAATGTGGGCTGATTTCCTTTGTGCCAAGCATTTCTCTTTTGAAAACCATTTCTACTTCCATTATTTTCTCTCTTTAAGTGCTTAAAATTGTTAAATAACTGTTGAACCAACAAAGTATTGATATATATGTTTAAAAGCATAATCAAGGGCATCAAAACCAAATAGGCGCAAATGAAAAAAAAACTGTCGAGTTTGGGAATATACTAATATACTAATACACAGACTGGACAGTTCTTCCCAGGGGCTTCATCGGGAGGAATTTATAGGATGCCCCTATAAAATATCACCCCTTTCTGTTTCCCAGAGCAGCAGTGTATCTTCCCTCACAGCTGCAGCTCTTGCACAATTCAGTCCTGTTTCAATTCTTGCTCCATAAACTACCTTAGCAGAACAAGGCATCTTCATGAGGCCAAGCACTTCCTTGAGGTGGATCACTCAAGATCTGCACAACCCTAATAACAAATACCTAAATAATCTGAAGGAGAGAGGTGACATTTGAAGCACCCATATTCCATATTTCTGTGTGAAAGAATGTTTGTAATGCAAATCCATGAGGAACTACTTAGTTAATGTAAATAAAAAATAGAAACCAAAGATGGGTAAAAGAATCCTTCTTAGTTAAAAGATCTATAGGATTCTCTACTCTTGTGTTAATTTTTTCAGCCAGTTTTATTTTCCATGCTTTAGATGCTCACCCAGGTGGCTCTCCCCCTCACAAAACACATTTACTCTTTGTTGCATGCAATTTCAATAGTAGTAGTATGACGCTGACTGAAGATTGCTGTCTGATCCCACAGTATAATGTAAATAATCATATGGTTCCTCTCCACAGGAAAGGAACATTTTTCCTTTCATGTTGATGTGACTTCTGGCCTGTAATAGTGGGATATGCAACCCTGTTATTGGACTTCCTTCCTCCTGATTTAGGTCTGTATTGAATTGATGGCACCTTTTACTGTGAATGATACTCCTGGGCGAGTTCTGTATGAAACAGATACAGCATCACCCAGCAAATATCAGACTGGACCAGAGATTAGTTTGATGAACCTCCCTTTAACAAAACAAAAACAAAGAACTTTTATTTTATTTTATGCAGCCAATACTAACTCCCAAGATTATTATTTTTTTTTTGGTACACAGAGAATCATGGCAATCTAAGGCACTGTTTTATCTTTTTTTCATTGTAAATTAGGAATCTGCCAGTGGATTGAAATTTGCTCCTTCATCTGCAGCCCTACTGTGCATCCTCCAGATTTGCCCAGAGTTTATGGGATCCTTTGGAACAGGGTTAAGGTTAGGAGAAAGAGGGCTGTAGAGACAGGGGAATTGCCTCTCTCTGGCTCAGTCAGTAGAAATTGTGTCGACCAACAGAAGCCGAAAGCAGATTCCACCTGTGGAACTAACTCCCGTGACAGCTTCCTGCAGAGGAGAAAGGGCTCTTTTGCTTCTGGGAAACTTTTGAACCACAATGACCAATCAGATGCCCATCACTATCAGGCCACTAGGCCAATTATCTTCTCCCTCTGTTCTTCTCAACAGCTGATATTGGGAGGTATTACCTAGCCCTTGTGAGAGCATCTTCATTTTACTTATATACTCATGTCTGTTTTTCCACCTTGTGGAAGGCTCAAGGCAGCTAGCACTATAAAAAAAATAAATACACCCATACAAAAGACAAAACAATTGATGCTACATTGAAACTCACAGCTGCTAAATAAAAACTATTATAACCTTATGATTGTAAATTCCATAGTTTAAGTGTACCTGAGTGAATCTCTTTCAGATTATGTGCATATACTGGGGAGATCATATCACCAGTGTGCAGAAGGGAAAGATTTGCATGTGTTGATACAACATTCCGATGAGCTATGGATTCCCAGCATCAGGATCTGCAAAGACTTCTTATCAGAGCAAGCCCAGTGTCCTGTACCAAAAGAGCTTTGGAGGACAGCCTTGACAACCAGCAGTTTTGTACCAGAGGAAATGTCCTCTCTCTCAACCCTATAATGAACAACGTGAGCGTGTCATTTGCTGTGGGCAAGCATTTCACTGCTCATTCTGTTTTACCTCCTGTGCTATCAGGACCCTGAGCCCAACCAATGTTTTCATCTCAAACATTTTTATCCAGATTGATGAGCTAATAAGAACCGGTTCGTTAGCTTCTTGGTGAAAGGTCTGTTTTAAGCTTGCTCTTGTGAGCCAGAACATGAAAAATTCACCAGTATGGAAAATGTTGTGTGCTCTATTACAGAGAATGGGAGGTGGGGAATGAAGACTTGCTTCCAAGAGCTTTATAGTGACTAGAGGCTGAATAGTGTATGTTCCATTGTATAAAGGGAAACAACACCTATTGTTAAAATGGATACCCTTTGGCCTTGCTGGGCTGGTGAAGCTGACATAAGCAAAAGATGACACAGGTACAAGTTCCTGCCACATCTCTGTGCTTTGACAGTAGCTTGAATCTATAATCATGATTTCAGAAACATTAGTTCTGAAAACCATGATCAGCACCAGGTAAGTTTCTAGAAAAAACTTTGCACTGCTTTATCTCTGCATCTGATGCTATCTAGTACTTCATGGATCAGATCTGGAGTTGTTTTTCCATATTCTGATCAGATCATTTGCACAAGAAGAAGGGTGGTGGTGCAGATTTTTATTATTTCCTGCTAAAGATAAGAAAATCTGTTGATTTTGCTTTCTCTCAATTTCTAATTTCTGCAAATCTTAACTTTTGCTTTTCTCAGCTTCTTTTGTTTTATGAATCAAAACAATTCAGTTTGGTGAACATGCCTACATTTTAACTTTTAAGTACTTTGACACATAGTTCTCCAAAGATACATATTTTTGTTGTAATCTGCCTCATAATACTCCATTTTGTAAATCACCCCATCTAACATAATGCATTTTGTATCTTATTTTTGTGTTTTTTACAGACATTTCCCTAAATCCTAAGCAGCATTACAAAATTCAGAAGACAACAAATTTCCACAGGTGACCAAGGCTCAGATTATATATTGGTGCAAAAATGCAAAATTATTTTTTATTTATTACAAAATGTCTAAACTGTTTTTTTCATAATTAAAAACATTACCTGTAAGAGCCCAAAGTAGGGTGTATAGGAGGTTCCCTTTATTTTATCCTCCCAAGAACCTGGTGAGGTAGGCTGGGTTGATATTTACTGGCCCAAAGTAATTCAGTGAATCCTGAAAGGGGAGCTTGAACCAGGGTCCTTCCATTCCAGATTACTATCTTAAACTACCATACTTTGGGCTATCCAGCAGACAAGCTACCCAATACACAAATGTTAATAATGCATAGCAATTCAAACTCAGGTTTACAGAAGATGAGTTTTCCTACATCAAGGTGGGAAATAGGTCAAGCACCTCCAATATTTACAAAAGCAGAAAAAAGATATATGGATTAGTTGATAATCCACTTCAGTGTTTTTCAAACTTGGCAACTTTAAGATGTGTGGAATAGCATTTTGGGAGTTGAAGTTCAAACATCTTGAAGTTGCCAAGTTTGAAAAACACTGATGTAACTTCAGTTTCTTGCATGGATCCAGGAAAAATTAGAATTAGTCTGGAATTGTTAACTAGGATTATTCATCTCAGACCTTAAAAAAGAAAGAAAGAAATTCACTACAAAATCATTTGTTCTAGGCCTTAGTGTGGAATGTTACGATGACTTAGGAGCAAACTCCACTGGATGCAGTGGTGATTTTTGGTATTTAGGTATTTAGGATTATAACAAAAAGCTTGTTTCACAATGAACACATTTATTATTAAACTTATGTCTCCATGCTCAGGGAAGAAAAAAAATATTGAAGAGGCAGAAGGAAAAAATTACTGTTTGATATGTAGTGATTTCACTTGTGAACTCTTCAAATCATCTGGAATTGTTACACACTGAAGAGTATCTGCTCTGCCCTAATTTTAATTTATTCTTCTACCATGGCAACTGTAAAAGTCAATGCGAATTGGAGGGTGGGATTATCTGAATATACCTAGGGAAATGTAACTTAATTACATGAATGTATAATCCACTGGCTCCAGGCTGATTTTCATATGTTGTGAAGCTGCCAACGTTTGCATAGCTAACTGTTCATCTGAGTTATGGCAATATCTACATATATATTGTGGGAGAAGATGAAATGTGGCAACTTGAGTTAGGGGGATTTCTGCATCCTAGCCACAGCTCATGACTTGTCAATAATCTCTTACTGACTACATCTGTTAATTTCTACTCCTTTGGTGTGCTGCTCATATATGAAACACTTACTTATCTGTAATAGGTGCAGTTTTTCATAATGTATGCACTGCCCCCCAGTCACTCTTCGTGTTACATGAATGGTACATTCTGAATTTGTTAGTCAGACTTGGAGCATGAAAGCACTGAATTGCAGTGGGCAAAAAAATAAATCTTCATTTGAACCCAAGATTTTTGAGATTTGAATTTAAATTACCAAAGGTATTAACATTTTGACATAACTGAAATCTTAAAATTCCAAGAAATTCAAATTCTTGGGTTTGGTTCTTTCACAGAATGATAATTTCTTATCTCACCTTAGCTGTGCCCCAAAAAATGAAATTACAATTTTGTGCAATCCCTTGCTCAAGGAGAGAGATGAGAATGGAACACCTAGAAAACTTGCATATCACATCATAGCACAAATTCTTCTGTATTTATTTTATTTACTCCGTTTATATTCTACCGTTAGTTCAAACGGAACACTGGATTTGTGTAACAATCCTAATGGCTCATTTCCTTGAATCCAATTTATATCTTGATCCTTGTTAAGTTCTGAAATTTCTACATCTAAAAAAAAAACATTAATTATACACTTAAATTTTAGGGTCATCAAGCCTCTTGTTCTGCTTGATCTTAACCAGTTGGAACTGGCAAGAAAAAGCTTTAACTACAAGTTTATAGAAATGTGTAATCTGCCTCTGTTTAAGTATTCAGTGCCACATGTAATAAGGATTTTGCATGCCTGGATGTGCATCTCAATTAGATTCGCAAAATGTTTGGAGAAGATAGTTTGCTCCCACAATTAGACATTAATTTTGCATTTACCATTCACATGGAGAGCATCTCTTTACTTGCTATTTTACATACCCTTTTTTCTGCCTCATTTGCTGCATGTAAATAAAAGTGTTCTATAGCCATCAGGAGCGGGAAACATTTCAGCAGCATATATGATTGTGGCTTTTTTTAAAAAAAAATTTTTTTTAGTAAGGATTATGTTATACAGATAAAACTAATATAATCTACATAGAATAAAAATGTATCAAAATAAAAAAAAGTGCAGAAACAGAAAAAAAAGAAACTTCCCCCTTCATCCCCAGCAAAAATAATCAACATTAACAGCTTATCACCATCTCTTAAAATAAAACCAACCATCTCATCCCATATCTCATCCCATTCCCTATAAATCAATCTTTAAAACCTCATAACTCCATCTTAATCAGCAAAAGTCCATTAAGGGTTATCAGAAATAACAGCATACTATTACAAACTATATCTAATAAACCCAGTTTGAATCCTTCCTTTTACATTTATATGTCCTTTTCTATTTAAACAAATCTCCCCTCTCTCCTCTCTTTTAAAACATTGTCATCCAGTCCTGGTCAACATAAATTCATTAAAGATTACCAAAGATAGCAACCCATTTATTTTAGCCTTGATCAAATAAGCCGATTTTATATTCTTTCCTCTTTCTCCCAAAAATCTTTAGTCCCCTCAAATAATGTCCTAGCATCTGCTTCCTTTTCATGCTCTTTTTGTCTCCCAGAATCATTGGCATCCTTAACAAGCCCCTTTTGTAATTCCAGTATAAAAAGGTTATCCACATCACTGTTCATATTCTCACTGTCTTGTCTCATGAAATTGTTGACAACCTCAACAAGTTCCTTTTGTAAATCCAATGTAAAGAGGTTATCCACATCACTCTTCTGGTTTAGTATTTGTGTGTCTTTTTTAATTGTGAAATCATCAACCGGTTTCATTTGTAAATCCAATATGATTGTGGCTTTTTTATTCATTTACTTCCTTTCTTTTTGGAGTAGCCAAGGCTCGCCACAAACAGAGCAAATGTATATCAGGCAAGTGGATGGAACTGGCATTTCTAAAATCAGTGTTTTGATTTTCCACTAAAAAATTGCTGGTGTGATGATTTCAGTGCCCTGAGAGCCATCATTGCCCATCCCTGATCTTCACCAACCCTCAAAATATTTTCTGGATGGGGCTTATGTAACTGAGTTGGAGTGTCAGCTGTGTATGCCATATTAGACATAGGTATTTTGGTTTGTAGGAAAGAAACTGTGGAAGGTGTATTTTTGACAAAAGACACAGACTTAGCCATAGGAAGGGACTTAGTCATCACCCAAAATTAGAAGAGGCATCATAAAAAAGGACAAAGATTTGCATTAAAATTGCATATAGTGTTTATATAGATAGGCAGGTTTAAAAGTAATTATTAAATAGAAATACACTTTAAGGAGGACTGTGGCCAGGCAATCTCCTGTGTTCCTATCATGGGCTGAATACTGACAACCCTAGTTTTATTAAACTAGGTTTGAAGTAGGCTGGCTTGCAAGGGGAGCTCTGTCTTTTGCAAAATAGGGCATATGGCATTGACCACATAAGTAACAAATTGGCCTGGATAATGCTTTGGGGTCTATTATTGCTCTAATTAAAAGGTTCTGTGACAATGAAAACTGCTAAAAGGCTCACATGTCTGAGTAGATGTGGAAAAACTGTTTCAATGAATAAACATCTTTCTCTCCGAGTAACAAAAATGTTTCTGGCATAGCCCATTGACTATTTTTGTTCTGAGTGATAACATGACAGATTGGCAAATGTCACCAGTTTGCTCCCTCCACCTTCACCCCCCCACCACTTCAGTTGCATAAGATGTTCCACTAAACAGTTATTTTCCAGCTCAATTTTGTTATCTTATACAGTACTGTGCAAAAGTTTTAGGCGGGTGTGAAAAAATGCTGTAAAGTAAGAATGCTTT